GAGTGGAGGGAGGGACGCCTGGCTCCCCGGGGCGGCGGGTGGGGGCCGGTCACCCGTGGGGGCGGGGAGGAGAAGCGCCGCGGCTCCGGGTCGCTGCCTTCCCCGGGGTCGGCCCCCACACCCCCCCGACATGGTTGCCCGCCCGCCGCCCCGTGTCCCTCGTCCCCCGGCGTCGCTGTCACTCGCGCGCAGGTTGCCCGGGGCCCTTTCTCTTCCCTCGCTCTTGCCCCAGGTCTCGGGAACCCTGTCTTCTGACCCCCCCTCCCCGGCTCCCGCTCCGCCCGCCTCGGAGACTCTGAAATCGGACCCTCCGGGGCACGGCGACCAGAGGAGGGAGGAAGCCACCCTACCCCGGAGCGGCGCCAGCGGCCGACGCCCGCCCGGGGCGGGGGCCAGGCTCTCCGCCGAGCGCGCTCGTCCCTGTGCCCTTGGGCGACGCGTTTCAATTCCGTGGCCCTTTCTCGGTCCAGCTGCACTGGCTGCAAAAACTAACTTCTGCAGGTGCCGGCCACGCCCTCCTCCCCCCGCCCCCCAGATCTGTGAGAAAGAGGAGGGAGTGGAAAACCGAGAACCCGACTCCAGTTAGGCCTGGGGTCATCCTGGGACCGGAGAAAGCGGTTAGGGCGGACACCTGAACCGCCAGGTGCGTGCTCCGAGAGCGCGAACATCTGGGGAGGTGCAGGCCGTGGACAGGCGCCTCCGCCCTCCCCCCTGTGCCGAGGTTTTTGCCAGCACTTGCGCCGGTGTGGTCAGTGGTCTGCGGGGGCTCACAGCTGGCCCCGTGGGCTCTGCGGGAGAGGCCTCCTCTCCAGGGACCCTGCTGCTGGGAGATGGTGGAGAAGTAGGTTTGAGGCAGGTGCCCAGATACTTAGCTCGAGGTGAAGTCCTGGGGGAGGACTTGTGAAGGGAGCTAGAGAACAGGGAGGACCTCTGGTGAAGAGGATGCATTGGTGCCTTCTACGTTAGAAGTGGAGCGGATACAGGGGCCAGAACTCAGAGGAGAGAACGAAAATGGACGTTTCTCTTTCTTGCTCTATTGGGAATTTTCCTTTCTTAGGAGATGTCTCTGAAAAGGAAACCTAAACGGGGACTCAGTCCAGGATGCTCCCGTGAGGCCCTGGGGCGTCTGGGGAATTTGTTCCCTTTCTGTGCATTGGGCTTAGGGTTCCCACCTACCTCTTTTGTCAAAGAGAAATGGCAAGAAAATAAACAGCTTGATATCTGTCATTACCCATCCTGGGATCTTGGGTTCTTGCAGATGTTGTTGGGTAGACATGAGTGAGCCAGAGTAGTTACCAAAGCTCTGCCAAGGAGCAAGGGACTGACTCTGTGAAGTGTCATAGACTGTTTCTCTGTCATAAGACAGCAAGGCCTGTATCACAACACAGGTGGGACCTGTCCTGCTCTTAAGATGTCCAGAGAAAAGGAGAGCCCACACACCCAGTCCTGCACGCTGCTGGATTATTAGGAAGAATTTAAAAAAAACTTAAACCTCTTCTCTCGTCATCAAAAGAAGAGATCTGGCCCTGGCCGGTGTGGCTCAGTTAGTTGGAGCATCGTCTTGTACACCGATCGATGGTTCTCTCTCACATGCTTGGTGTTTCTCTCTCACATGGATGTTTCTTTCTCCCTCTCTCCCTCCCTCTCTCCCTCCCTCCATCCCCCCTTCCTTCTTCCCTCCTGCCTCTCTCTCTTTCCAAAGTCAATAAGCATGTCCTTGGGTGAGGATCTTAAAACACACACACACACACACACACACACACACACACACACACACACGAGATCTCTATAGAAATCGAAAACGTTTCTCTTTTTATTCATTGTAGTATCATTCATTAGTCTTCCTTAACCAACACAAAACTATGTCCATGTTTTTAACTTTTCCCCAATGGCCATATTTCCTGTTTTCTTCACTTTTGTTTTGTTTCTGTTAGAAACAAAAGTGCTCTTGACATAAATACATGCTTTGGCTGGGACTTTTACGTATAGTAATAATTTCATTCTAAACTAATCAATGTGAATGGAATTTGTGGCAGAAAATCTTATAAGTGATTATATCCATTTTTGTTGGGTGCAAGTCTGTGTGCATTCCTTCCTGCATGTTTCCAGATTGTTTACTGTATTTTCAGTGGTTGGAATTAATGGATAGCTTTTGAATTTCCAGGATTGTTCCATTAGAACTTTATTTTTCTTAAATGAAGTTCTTGTAGCCTTCAGGGATATTCTATTTCTATCACAAAGTTCCCAAAATAGCCATTAGTGAGTTTGCTCTGTGGCACCTGTTCATTTCTTAGTTCCTGCAAGAAGCTTGGCTCAGGCTCAGTTGATTGGACTATATCAAGCTTTTAAAGTTCATCTTCCATCAAGCTCTTATTATCTAGTTCCATCTTTTATCCCTTGGCTGTCTCCCTAACTCCCTTAGGAATATCATCCCTTTCCATTTTCATGGGAACTGTTGATATGAATTTGTTCCAGGTCACAATTTGGGTTCGCAGCAAAAATGCTTTCAGAACAGACAGCAGCCCTAGGGCCAGGATGGGAGTCGATGAATGTCCAGCTGGATGGAGCAGAGCCCCAGGTGGAAAGGGGAAGCCAAGAGGAGGGGCCATGGAGAATGGCACCGGGGCCACTGGAACACTTGTGCTGTGACCTTGAAGAAGAGCCACAGTCCCTTCAGGAAAAGGGTGAGAGTCTGGAGGATGTGTGTGGGGGGAGCACAGTGCAGAGTAGTCTCCTAATCTCTGTTCAGAAAGTAGAGTTGAAAATCCCCAGTTGCCTTGAACTGAACAGCATAATCAATATCACAGCTAGTCCATTCTTCCTTGGCCCTGGTCACAGGAATATAAGGAGCTCCTGTATTCTGCATGCCACACAACTGGGTTTTCTCCATTTCTTACATAACCACTCCCTCCACATGTTGCAAGTGCATCTTAGTGGTACCAAATGTGGGACACTAAGGAAGTGACAGCAACACTGATTACTATTGGAGAACACACCCAGTAAGATACACTTTACAAGATGAAAATTACATTTAAATAATATAAATTCATACCATAGCCACTGTGGTAGAGATGGATGACAGGAAAGATCTACTAAAAGCCACTCAATACCCTTACCGAACATTTTGAGCGAAGGTCTCTTCTTCTATATTTCTGCATTTGAGTTTTACCAATGGGCATAGATAGAGAAAAACCATGACCCTTAAGCCCCTCTAAAATGGGGCCTAGGCTCTTATTGGGAAAGGATGAATGGTACACCTCTAATGGTTCCTTTCTCCCCTCACCAGCTCAGTCGGCTCCCTGGGTTCCTGCCGTTCCCCAGGAGGGGAGCACCGGAGATTGGGAGATGGCAGCTGCACTTCTTGCAGCCGGATCACAGGTGGGCTGTGTGCTGCCTTTGGCCTCTCCCAGGGGTCTCATCACTGCTGCCTTTCTGTAAGCCTTAGCATCCTCCCACTGAGTTGTTATTTCACATGATCACGAATAGTATGTTCATCTTATAAGTGAATAGATTCTATCCCTTTCCAAGAGGCTCAAGATATCCTTTAAAAATGAATGAAGATATAACAAGAAGAGGAGAATTCCTAGAAGTTAGGTGTGTGCTTGTTTTTATTAGATGGCTGTGCTATCCACAGGGAGATTTTAAGAACAATTCATTAATATTCTTTAAGAGATAAATTTGTGAAGATTAGGAAAAGAGAACCTGAAGGAAGCTTGGAAGAGCATAAAGTGGGCAAGATTGGGTGGATGATGGGGCATTTATGGAAAAGGGCAAGAAGAGACTAAGGCATGTGTGTAAGGCCATAATGCTAGTAAATGGCAGAGCTAGGAGTTATTTGGCTCCAGAATCTGGACTCCTAAACACCATACTATGCTGCCTCGGAAGATAAGGATATGGCATGGTGGTGGGTGTGAGGGTGAATGTTTTATCTACATCCTTTAAAAAAATTTTTTTCTTTATTGATTAAGGTATTACATATGTGTCCTTCTCATATCTATATCATTTTGTGCTGATCGAAAAGGAATGGTCAAGTGGAGGAAGGAGAGCATAATACACAATTTTTTCAATGGAAATAATAAGGCCGGTGAGAAGAGACTGGGCAGACACATACAGTTAAACAGAGAGAGCAATGATTTTCTGGTGTCTCCGACTTTTAGTCCCATTTGGGAGACTCCTCTGGAGACACTAACCTCACTTACTGACCTTACCTTTACCCCTCTCCTCATTTCCCCTTCACCCAGGGGCCTACCCAGGGGCCACTGGGTAATTATTTTTCCAGATATTCTCTTGCCCTCTCTCTTCTACTGCCCCATCCTTTTATATTGGGATCACATTTTCCTTAAGGAACAGCTGGTGACAGATGATGCCACATTTTGTTTCAGGGCCTGGTAACCATCAAGGATGTGTCACTGTGCTTCTCTCAGGAGGAGTGGCGGAGCCTGGACCCTTCTCAGACAGACTTTTATGGAGAATATGTCATGCAAGAAAACTGTGGGATAGTGGTCTCGCTAAGTAAGCATGATCTTCCCCAGCCACTAAAAGATTGTCCTCTGGGAGGACGAGCCCTGTGCTTTAGCATGTTGGATAGTGTCTGTCAAGGGTTCCTCACTTGTCAGGGGATCTGTCTTCCTTCCACCAGAAAAAGAGCACTAGGACTAATTCAAGGAGAATAGAAGTGAGGCATCATTTTTAAAGACAGCAGTAAAATAATGCTGAATCATGGAGAAGAGAACTTTAGGCTCCTCTCAGTTGGGAATTTGCAGGTTCTTACAAAACAGAGAGCAGGACATCTAAGAGATAGAACTGAGTCCTTGGAAACTCAGAAACCATCTAGGGAAAGATGGGAGTTGAGGAGGGGGAGGGATGGAGAGAGAGCTGTGTTAGAGCTAAATAAATGAAGTTGTGACCAGAAAGGACACTTGGGTTGGGAATATTTGAAATATAAGTGGCAGAGAACACACACATTGGGGAATAGTGTGTGATTTTCTGGGGGGGAGGAAGGGGAAAGAAGAGCAACTTAAAAAATGGGAGGGGATGAGGAGGGTGAAGCTTGTATCTGGCCTTTTATCTAGAGTTCTAAGGAATAATATAGGAAACAGCTTTTCTCAGAAATATAGAATTACCGTTGTACTAATTGACATCCCTATTTTCCTTTCCCATGGGCAGGATTTCCAATTCCTAAGCTGGACATGCTTTCTCAAGTAGAAGGAGGGGAGGAACAGTGGGTCCCTGACCCACAGGACTTAGAGGAGAGGGACATCCTGAGGGTAACATATACAGGTAAGAGCCTTGAGTGGACTTTCAGGCATGGCCTTCATCCCTCTTGGAATGTGATCATTCCATGTCCCTCTAATCCAGTGGTTCTCAACCTTCTGACCCTTTAAGTACAGTTCCTCATGTTGTGACCCAACCATAAAATTATTTTCGTTGCTACTTCATAACTGTAATGTTGCTACTGTTATGAATCGTAATGTAAATATCTGATATGCAGGATGGTCTTAGGTGACCCCTGTGAAAGGGTCGTTTGGCCGCCAAAGGGGTCGCAACCCACAGGTTGAGAACCGCTGCTCTAATCTTTCCTCTGCCTTGGAGAGCTGTAGAATCAAAAGGTTTAGAGGTCTTTTTTTTCAAAAGCAAGACAGTATAGCGGAAAGGTTTTAGAAGGCAGGTTTCTGGAGCTAAACTTCGTGGATTTGAATTCAGGACCTTAGAAAAATGATTAACCTCTCTTTGGGTTCCTCACCTATACGTTATTATGAGATTTAAATATGTTAACATAATAGAACAATACCACAAGGTACATAAAAAGCACTCAATAAACACTAGTTGCTGCTATGACTGTTGGTGTTGTTGTTGTTCAACTTCCCACCTCTTACAGAAAGGGCTTCTGCAGTGTCTCTGGTATTGTTGACAGGTGGCCAGCCAGCCCGTGATGACTGCAGCACATTCCTTAACTCTCCATTTATGCTTAGGCAGGAAGATGGTAATTAATAGTAAAGATCAGTGGTAAATAAGTAACAGTAATAAATAAATAATCACAATAGCACAGACCATTTACTAAGTGGTTACTATGTGCAGATACTGTGCTATCTATCTTATAATTATTTACATTTTACAAAAGAAATGAAGACTAACAGAAATTAAGTAGGAAAGCTGAGATTCAAAATTAGGTAGTCTGTCTCCTAAGCCTAGGCTTCTAACTTCTACACCTCTTGCACTGTCTTGTACAACATTACAATCTGTTCTCTCAGTCCTTGTTGGGTGAGGTTTAGGCCCTAACAGACATCATATAACCTCACCTGTGACTTGGGTCCTGAGGTCCCTCTGGTGACTCCCATCTTGGGGTTGGTATTTTCCCTTCTCCACAGGAGATGGAAGTGAGCATGAGGGGGATACCCCTGAACTAGAAGCAGAACCTCCCAGAATGTTATCTAGTGTGTCTGAAGATACTGTTCTCTGGAACCCGGAGCAGGAGGAGAGCTGGGATTCCATGCCCAGAAGCTCCAGAGGAATGCTCCTGGGCCCACCATTTCTTCAGGAAGAGAGCTTCTCAAGTCTTCTGTGTAGCACAGAGATGGATTCCCTGTTAAGACCACACACATGCCCCCAGTGTGGGAAACAGTTTGTGTGGGGCTCCCACCTTGCCAGGCACCAGCAAACTCACACCGGGGAGAGGCCCTATAGCTGCCTCAAGTGTGAAAAGAGCTTTGGGCGAAGACATCACCTGATCCGGCACCAGAAAACCCACATGCACGACAAGCCCAGCAGGTGTTCTGAGTGTGGCAAGAATTTCCGATGCAGCTCCCATCTGGCCAGCCACCAGAGAATGCATGCGGAAGGCAAATCCTGCAAAGGCCAAGAAGCTGGAGAGAGCCCTGGGGCTAGGAAACGGCAGCACACCCCACCGGTGCCAAAGTGCCACGTGTGCACTGAGTGTGGGAAGAGCTTTGGCCGACGGCACCACCTGGTGAGACACTGGCTAACCCACACTGGGGAGAAGCCCTTCCAGTGCCCTCGCTGTGAGAAGAGCTTTGGCCGTAAACATCACCTGGACAGGCACCTGCTGACCCATCAGGGACAGAGTCCCAGGAGCAGCTGGGACAGAGGGACATCTGTCTTCTGATTTCTGTTTTTGCTGTAGCTGTGGTCACATCTATCAGCTGGTGCTGCCAGGAGTCTCTGCCAGAGCTGCCCCTCTCCTGCCCCCGATGGCCAGGATCATGAGCCCTGGCCTCATCCCTAGAAAGATGAGGTTTCAGCATGGGCCAGAGCATTTTTCACCACTTCTGTGAGATACCACATAAAATAGAGTTCTTTGGGCAAAATTTTTGGGAAACAATGCTTACTACATGGGCTGATATTCAGCCTGAGCCCATTCTCAAGGGTACAGTGGTACCAGCGGTTTATGGCTGAGGTCCATTCTGATGTGATTGGAGCCTATGCCATACCAGTTGTTAAATATTTTTAGTATCACCACTGTATACTATAACTCTTATATTCTCTTTACATTATATATGGAGAGAGAGAAAGACCATGTTGGCATATTAAAGGCTCTGAAAATGTATGCAGTAAAGCAAATTTTAGCCTCTTAATGCAATGTTTCCTAAATGTATTTGACCTCAGTATTCTTTCTATCTCACATCCCACAGAACTGGTGACTCCATGAAACGCTCTGATAACACTGGGTTAGAGTAATGAGGAAACAGAAAAGAGACCCCTTTTTTATCCAAGTGAAAGCTGAAGGGCAGATCTCATTCCTGTGTGGGTCCATCACCTTTTCCTCAATCATCCAAATATACATCCACACCTCTCAACCCCACCTGATGAAAAATAGAAATAATAACCTTTTCACCCATGATTCCTAGTCCTTTATCCTGCACATATGTATATCCAGCTGAGAGATCATACTACCATGCTAAGAGATGGACCTTATACTCCCAAGTAATCCAGACTCACACAGAAGAAAAAACTTCATCTCCTTGGACAGTCCCCCTCTTCTCTTGACTGTGTCTTTATGTGTCGATGTGTATCTGTGTGCAGGGTCTTTGAAGAGAGCATGCAAAGTGCAAACTGTAAAAGCTAGATTTTCTAGGGACTGTGTTCTGGTGATGAGGGTAGTGGGGATTTTATGGGGTTTTTGTTTTGTTTCAAGATAGGAAGTAAGCTGATCTATTAAGGGAGCCCTAGTGGAAAGGATTATGTGATGGGTAGTGTTGTGGAAATTGAGGTATAAAGACTTCTTGAATGTCACTGAGATCAAGACAAGTGGATATATATTCCATGTCCGAATCTCTGGGCCACAGATTCTTTTTGCTTGGGGGGAGAGAGAAAGAAACATCCTCAGTGAGGTGGGCTCTTTCTTGTTGATTTCAAGCAAGATGCATATAGAAGCTTTATGCTGAGTGAGGGTTTTTTGTTTTTGTTGTGTGGTGTGTTTCCTTGTCTTGTTTTAAGTGCTGAGAAATTAGGGCAGGAATCACAGTGCTTACAGGTTGTTTTCATTACTCTTGTTTGACTTTGATGGCCTCATCAAGGGGGCAGAGTTATTCTTGAGGATCTTATTCTCTCCAAAACAGAACTTTGGGGGAAATGGCTGTGGTTTAGTTTTGCAGCTGATGCAGGGTAATGAGCTTTCCAGTTGGTTTTCCTCACAATTCTGGGAAAGTGACCATGCTAAGACTCTTAACTCCAGGACTTGCATAATATTCTAGCATCTGTGCGTTGATGAGTTGATCATTGTTTCTCTTTATTGATGATGTGTTAATACCAGTGTTATAATTTAATTATCTTGTATGTAAGAGCAGTTTGGGGTTAGGGAGGGAGAGGCGTGGAGAGGAGCAAAGAGGATGAAAGTCAGTATTTTTCTCTTTAATGCTTAAATTCTGGTTTTTCCTTAATAGACTTATCTTTCAACCACAATTGGTGGAATTAACCAGAGAGGTAATAAAGTGAGCTGCAACAGTCTAATTTCATGACTGTCCCATTTGCTTAGGGAACATGGGGTGAATCACAGCTCCTCAGAGCCCTGGGCCCATATGGACTTGAAAATAAGGTCATTTTGCTGAATGGGCTTCTTAGAGTGGATATGACTTGATCAGCCCAGTCCCTGCCTTCTGCTGCTCAGAGCAGTCTTCCTTCTTTGCCTGGTATGCACTTCTCTTGCTTGTATTGATATGACTAGAGCAAAATGGCCAGTCCTTTGTAAGGCGCCTTGTTCTAGGTTCTCATAGACAGGAGTGTTCTAGGATCAGTATTAGGAGATGCCTCAAGGAATAGAAAAGTATTTCCTTCCAGTAGTAAAACTGGACTATGCCACTTCTTTTACCCTCCCACTCTGCCTCATTCATTCATGCAAATCAGCTCTATTAAGCAGTGGTTCAGAACCTGTTTTGGATCACATACTGTTTTGAAGATCTGATAAAAACCAGGAACTCATTTTTGAAAAAATATACATTAGCAATTCACTCAGTTTTTCATACACATTTAGTCTACCCATGGAATCACTTAAACTGGGGTCAAAGAAAGGTCATTATAGTATATTTATGTCAAGAAGTACAAGGCAATGGTCACTAAATATTTCAAGGAATAAGATACCAGAGGCAGTAGGATATAAGAATAGTCTGGTCTATAATGACTAGAAGGGTATTGCTTACAATCTACTCTATTTTTTTCTTAAAGATATGGTATACTAACAAGTCCAGCTCCTCACAAACATTGTTTTAAAGACTTGTAGGAGGTGACTCTCCATACTATCAGATCACACTCTTAATAATTAGATGTTAACCTCCAGCCTTTAATCTGTTTTAGTAATTGTAAGGCTAGAAAGTGAAGCCCCTAAAGTGTAGGTGCAGTCATAGCACCCAACTGAAAGGCATCATGGAGTCTAAGGGTCTTCTGCAGAAGGGGCATCCCTTTAGGTCATTTCCGGTGTACCACTCTTCTTCTCTACCTCGGTCCAACACCACTTCCTTTGGACAAAAAATAAAATAAGCAACAGCCATCAAGTAGATTTGAATGATTTTTCCCACAGGGAATCAGCCTCAAACTCCCATCTTCCAACGGCCTCTGCCACATGTCCATCCTAACTGCTTTAAATAAAAAATGTCTCTGTGTTCTCTCTGGGCAAAATGTAAAATAGGGAAGTCCCATATAAGAAACCTGTCACCTTTTCCCCTCTGTGGTACCTCTATTCAGGGCGCAGGTATCTTCCCCTTTGCATCCCATCAAAGTATCTCTGTAAAGAATCCCTTCCACAGGAGAACGTGACCCAAAGTGTTAGCTTTACCCAGATCTGTTTACATTTTAAGTGTTCTGATATCTGGTAGTGGAAGTGGAAGGAAAATCTTTTCCCCTGTTAAAATGATGTTATGCCTTTAGGGAGCTGAAGGGGTGATATAATTTGGGACAAAATCCTTCCCTTTCCAGCACTTGTGCAATCAAACTGCTGTTATCTATTTATATCAAGGACAGGGTGAGCCCTGACGCAGAACCATAGGTACCAGAAGATAGGTTCTTTCCATCTCTGGATGGGAGTGAGTGGGACTAGGCAGTAACAGAAAAGTAAAATCTATTCTCTTAGACCTCTTAGAGATCCTGAGCTGGCAAAATTTCTTTCTTTTCCCTGGAATGCTCTAATAGGCCTACGCTCTCAAAATGTGTGATCTTTGGTCCAGCAGCATCAATATCATCTGGCAGCTTGTTTTAGAAATGCAAATTCTCAGGCTCTACCCCAAACACACTGAATCAGAAACTAGGGATGGGGTAATGCAGGGGAGCCCAGCAATTAGTCTTTTAGCCCGTCTTTCTGGATCTCTGAGGTATGCTAATGTTTAAGAACCTCTGGCTCAGAGATTCAAATTCCATTTCAATCAGCGGTACAGCACCCACTTCAAATGGGGAAAGAGGGGATCTTTACATATGTTGTCAGATTGATTTTCTGCAACCTCTCTAAGCTAGTTTTTCGGTTCTGTTCCTCTTGAGTTCCAAGGCCTTCCTTCACTCTTTAATCAATGAAAGGACTGGGTCAGTCACCAGTTTCAGAAACTGGTGGGGCAACTACCACGTTGCTGTGATTGATTGGGGCTGGAGCTTCTAAAGTGGACACAGGATTTGTGGGTCCAAAAATCTGAAAGGACAAAAGGAACAGACACACCAAAGAGGGGAAATCCATTGTAAAGCTGAAAAACTGACAACCAAGGAAATGATCCTCCTTTGCTAGTTATCTGGTCCTTTTCTGGGCCTAATAGTTGCCCTGGAGGCAGACTAGGTGAACATTCAGCACAGAGGTAGGGAGTAAAGCCAACTGTCCCAAGCCCTTAACCCAGGTTTTCCAACTTCAGAATGCATTGGAGAACAATAAGGTGCTATGCAAGGAATTTCTAACCAGGATTTGGTCTACTGTATGGGCAAGGGCAGCAGAGCATCAGGGAGCCCTGAGGACATAAGAGGGAACCAGGCTCATTTAGTAAGATGTGACTCCAGGGAGATTTGAACCCAGACTCTACTAGGTGGAGGTTGTAACCCATTAAGCCATGGCACCTATGTCAAAAATGCATTCTTCTGCCCTGGTCAGTGTGGCTCAGTTGGTTGGGCACAGAAAGGTTGCCAGTTCGATTCCCAGTCAGGGCACATGCCTGGGTTGTAAGCTTGATCCCTACAGGGGATCATGCAGGAGGCAGTTGATTGCTGTTACGCTCTCACATCAATGTTTCTCTCTCTCCTCCCTTTCCCCCTTTCTCTCCCTTTCTGTCAAAATCAGTGAAAAAAAAAAATCTTTAAAAATTGCCTATTTAAAAAACACAACATTCTCCTACTTTGAAGATTCTGTCCAATTCAGGCTTCAGGAAGGGATCGTTACCTCCTCCAGCTCCTCTCCTAAGCCTGCTCATGAGGACAGGCTGAAATGAAAGTTGCAAACCTGCCACCCCTATGGGAATCTCCAAGGCCAAAAGGTTAGAATGAACCTACCTCTCTTTGGGGGAGGTGATCAGCCCCTCTCCCCTAAGGCAGAAAAAAGCTTGGCTACTGCTTTCTTCAGCTCCAGACCTCAGGCTCTCTCCCTCTTTCCCTTCCTGTCAGCACTTCCATATTCCCAATAAAAGGAGCTCATCCCCCACTCTTTTTTAAAGGACATGTTTTATTTATTTATTTATTTATTTATTTATTCATTTATTTATTTATTTTAAAATTTTATTTTAGAGAGAGAGGGAGAAACATCAATGTGAGAGTGAAACATCGATTGGCTGCCTCCACACACGCTGACCTGGGACCGAACCCACCACCTGGGTATGTGCCCTGCCTGGCAGGGAGGGAATCAAACCTACAACCTTTTGGTATATGGGACAACGCTCCAATCAACTGAGCCACACTGGCCAGGGGAGCTTCCTACACTCTTAACTCCCACTTCTCTTTTTCAAATTGATTGGTTTGGTTCGGTATTTTGTTTTGTTTTGTCTGGGAAATACACCTTCCTGAGGGTGTTTGTTCTTCCCAATCCCTGTCTTCCTTCCATCATAGTTCCTCTCTCTTGTCCAGTTTCTTTTCTATCAGCCTGAAGCCTACTAAGCAGGGTCCATTCCATATACTTCCCACTTTCTTTTCTCAAATTCTTGGCTTGGCTATAGCAGCTCAGCTGCCATCTCACCATTCTGCATCTCTCTCTCTCATATCCGGACTTGGCCAAAGTTGCTGGTACTGTCAACTCCATTCCCTACAGGCTCTTCTTCCCTTGATGTAACTTTTTACTTTTCACTATTTTGATTTACTCAGACCCTTTTTATCTCTTGTGGCTCCTGAGAACTAGTTCCAATTCTACAAGCCATTTTTTGAGCTCTTCGCTGCATGGTAGGCACTGGCTGTTCCAGGCCTGGGAGATTGTGATCATGGACCTGTACTCAGCATGTTCCTCAGCGGAGCCCTCTCCTGCCATCACTTTCCTGTCATGCCTCATGACACTGTGCGCCAAGGTGCTCTTTTCCAGGAAGCATTGTGGGTATATGCCTACTTGCCATCCAGCCCAATTGCTCCGTGCCTGCCAGATTTCTAGCAATTGTCTGACTCAATTCCCTCAGATGGACTGTGAACTTCCCACAGATTACTCAGCGAAGGACCTTCGTCTGTATCCTTAGGGATCTATAATACGCTCTTTATGATCCCTGTCATTGAATAAAGAATGTATTGACTCAGTCACTGACTTCCTTTGTTGGTCCTCTTCTCTACTCTCCCCCCATTCTCAGCAATTCAGTCCTGATTAAAAAAACAACACAAAAACTGCAATAGAGTAGGGACCCAAGACAGATCAGGGAAATCCCAGGGGAAGTAGGGCAGCCATGTGTAAGTCCCCTCACTGTCCTTCCTGAAATATAAACCTTCAAGGCATCACAACATAGGCCTCTCTGCCTCCCTCCTGAAGTCCTGGCTCCCAGATGTCACTCCCCAGTCGGGGATTCAACTCATCTTGGAGACTGAGGTAGCAGAGCATAGAGCTGGGCCAGCCTTAGGGGGAGGCCAGGTCAGGTGAGTGAGGGCTTAGGGCACAAATTTAAGGAAGCCCTTGGTCTCGGTTATTCAAGTGCCAAGTCTCCTCTTGGGAGACCCTTAGAGTGCTGAGCCCTTAAAACTTAGACAGCCGAGTCTGGAACCAGCTGGTGGTGGTGACTGCAAAATGACCCCCCAGGCAAATTCACAATATTTGGTGATTTGGGGGGAGCCAGAGGAAATGCACACAGATGGGGTTAGGTACGAACTGGTCCACCAGATGCATTCACTTTAGAGGGTGAATAGGTCGGGCATCTGGCAGGTTATGAAGAATATAGAGTAAGAAATAGCGTGGGAGAAAATATGGAAAGTTGGCAGGGGAGAAACACCAGTCTTTGACCCACTGACATGGCCTTCCAGCCCTGGGGCTTCACTGGGGCAGAGAGAGGGAACCGCTTGGCAGGCCTTGGCACAACCCAAAGGCTTTGCTCTTCCTGCGTGGGAGTTGCCTTGAAGAGCTTCATGCCTACTGTTTGGGGGGCTGCTTCCCCTCTGCAGCTTTCCCAACACCAGCCAGACTGTTGTGTTGCCTGCCTCCATGCTTCATATTTTTCCTATTTTCTTGCAGTTCACTCTCACTCTTCCTTAGTCACTTGGAGTAAAACTTTTGACTAGTCTGGTCTTTCCCCTAACTAAAAGGGGGAGGAGGGAAGGACTTGATAAAAGGGGGAGGAGAAACATAGCTGTGATTGTTCATGGAGGTGCCTGTTCTCTTAGCCAGCTTCAGTGGACTGCTGAAGGCCTGACTTCCTTCTTACTCTCAGATCACTGCCTTTCCCAGGCTCATCCAAGGCCTCACACTGACACCTCCCTCCCCTCAGTCTTCAGTTCCTTGACATGTGCCCCTATATTAATTTCCAAAACAACCTATCTTCCTGTCCTTGTTAGGCACTTAGATTTTGGCTGGAATAACCTCCAGCCCAACCAGACAGCCTTGCCATGTTAGAGTTCCCCAGAGGGGGAGAAAGAACACATGAACTCCATTGCTTTGAGAACACTGACAAATGGAAATGTTCACATGTTCTGAAAACACCTCTCCACAATGTGTTTGAGAACATCCTGCAAGAAACCACTAAATCAGGGGTCCTCAAACTTTTTAAACAGGGGGCCAGTTCACTGTCCCTCAGACCGTTGGAGGGCCGGACTATAGTTTAAAAAAAAACAAGAACAAATTCCTATGCACACTGCACATATCTTATTTTGAAGTAAAAAAACAAAACGGGAACAAATACAATATTTGTATTTGCATGTGGCCCGCGGGCCGTAGTTTGAGGACCCCTGCACTAAATCATTAAAACATTCAGTGTAGAATGAATTCTAAACTTCTGACCTTTACCTACATAAAAAAGATGTTCGTAGAGTTAAAGAGTAGATGGTGAGGCCCCATTCAACATCTATAATTGTAGTGAAGAGAGCACTGAAGTTACTATTAAAAGTCCATTTCTAGCCCTAACCACTTTGGCTCAGTGGATAGAGCATCGGCCTGCGAACCAAAAGGTCCCAGGTTCGATTCCGGTCAAGTGCATGTACCTCCCTGGCCCGGGCCCTGGTCAGGGGACGTGCAGGAGGCAACCAATGGATGTACACGTCGATATTTCTGTCTTTCCCTGTCTTCCACTTTCTCTAAAAATCAATGGAAAAACATCTTTGGGTGAGGATAAAAAAAAAAGTCAATTTCTAAATTGTACATTTTCTAAACATTAGCTTTTTCACTTAAGATCTAAGAGATTGAGATGAAGGTGAAATTAAATGCATGCAAAAGCACAATCATCTTATAAACAAAAAAGCTGTAATTGATGATTACATGGACATTTCTACACAATTTATATGATTCTGAAAACAAATACAAAAAAGTTATAATAAAAAGTCTAATTTCTGTGTCTCCTCTACAATTCCCATCACCTTCCCCTCACAACAGAGGACCAGTTTTTTGTGTATCCTTTCAAGTTTCTTTATACAATACAAAGAAATACATTTTCCTTCATTGGTATGGTCATCTTGATTTTTTCCCCCGAGTTAATGTATCTCGGGGAGCTTGTCATAATAATACATAGAGAATCTCCCTTTTTTCTTACAGCTTCATGCTGTTTTACTGGAGGGAAGCTTCATGCTTTAACCAATCTCCTCATGCTATTTAGATTATTTCCTTTTTGTTGTTGTTGCTGCAATGCTGCACTAAATACATTGAACATAAATATTTTCACCAATGCACTAATATCTAAAAGGTAAATTCCCAAGTGTAGTTCAGGTGGGTCAAAGGATATCTGAATTTGCAATTTGGAAAGCCAAATTCCCTCCATTGGGGTGGCAGAGATTTACACTCCCACTAACACTGTATGTGAGTGCTGGTTTCCCCACAGCCTCACCAATGGAGTAGGTTCCTAAACATTTTTGGATTGGTTAAAATTATTGTTTAATGTGCATTTCTCTTAGGAGTAAAATTGCAAATTTTTCATGTTTTTAAAGGCCATTTGTATTTTGTTAACTTTTTTTCAATAACCATTGAATATTTGATGCTAGAGAGCATTTAAGGTTCATTACAACTCTAAAGTCCAACAATTTTCTTTTTTTTTTTTTTTTAAAGTCCAACAATTTTCCGATCATCATTGCACTGGGCTGTTGAGATAAAAGGGAAGCAAAGAATTGAGGTCACGGATGTTCCATTTACTCTGACTAAAGTTAAATACCCAAATATGCCACTATATTGTGAGCAATGAAAAGTGGGAATTATGTTTTATCCATCTTTATTCCCAGCAAAAGGCCCAGCATATTGCAGGACTTAGTCACAGTGAACACTAGTGATGAGATCAGCTATTCTTGGGAATTCCTTTCACAGAAGTACCCAGCTAGGATTAGGATCTAGATAATCTTGATAGCCTGCCAATGAGTTAAGGTTATTTCTTCTATTTCATCAGAGCACAGCCACCCTAAAGCTTAATGAAAAAATAATCGGAAATGATCATTGTTAGTTATATAAGATCAGGGTCTATCATTTAATAAATTTGGTAAGTTTACTAATAAATGAAGAAATCATAATATAAACAGAACAAAAGTGTGATGTTCTTAAGAAATCTAGAAAACAAATTGTTACCAGTGTTCTTTCCTACCAATCTTAAGGGAAAAGATGTCCTAATTCTAGACCATCTGGTTCTTTAGGTAAAAATAACTGGGACTATAAAGGGGCAATACATGTGGCTATCATAAGAACACTTGATTAAGTTTGTTCTAATTGTGTTTCTCACTGCCTCTTTTAGATGGCTCTCTAGTCTTTTTTCTTTAAATTTTTATATTTCAATTACAATACAATTCAATATTACTATATAATAGTTTCAGGTGTGTAGCAGGGTGGTTAGATATTTATATAATTTATGAAGTGGTCCCCCTGATAAGTAGTACCCACCTGGCACCCCATACATAGTTATTACAGTATTATTGACTATATCCCCTATGCTGTACTCCACAGCCCCATGACTATTTTGTAACTACCAATTTGTACTTCTTAATCTCTTCAGATGGCTCCCTATTCTGATTCTGTTTCTGCTTGCTTCATTCTGCTGCTCACAGACAATGTAAAAGCACATATGCCTAATTACAGCAGGGGGAAATAACAAGCTCGCCAGGTTGTTCTCACACTTTCCCATCTCTCACCTTCACTCACCTCTTTTCAGAATAAAAAGCACCTCCAAGGTGCTTCCCTTTCCCCCCACTCCTTTGGCTTCAGCTGGAAACATCATTTCCCTGAATCAACTACTCTGCTGTTTCCCTTCCTAGCAACCCTCTATCCCGCAAGGCTTCTTTCAAAACCTTGGAATATCTGGATAGTGTTCCAATGAACTGAGCTACCTGGCCAGGGCTCCCTAGGAATCATTTCTGTGTCCTGTCATGGCCTATGGCATGAGAACTACTCCCATCTATTCTTAACTCCCACATTCAGAACTAAAAGGAATCATACATTTGCTCCATATTTTATATATAGTGCTCAATACATGTTGTTTTTTCGGAAAAGCAAAAGAACTAGCTATTCATTATCTAACCTTCCCCATCTCCTTGTGTTTCTGATATGCATTCTATAAATCTGAATAGTTTACTCTCTAGGAGTTGGTACTTTCCCGGGTTGAAAATTCCCTTATTGAATTTTGTCAATCAAAGCATATGTGATATTTAAGTCCTTCTTATTCTACTGACACATAAAATCATCCTAGTTTAATACCAAATTTTCTTTCTTTCTTTCTCTTTCTTTCTTTCTTCTTCTTCTTCTTTCTTCTTCTTCTCTTTCTTTCTTCTTTCTTTTCTGTCTTCTTTCTTTTCTTTCTCTCTCTCTCTCTCTCTCTCTTTCTTTCTTCCATTTCCCTTTCCCTTTCCTCCTTTCCCTCCCCTTCCCCTTTTCCTTCCCCTTCCCCTTTTCTTCCCCTTCCCTTCCCCTTCCCCTTCCCCTCTCCCCTCCCCTCCCCTCCCCTCCCCTTCCCCTCCACTCACCTTCCCTTCCCTTCTCCTTCCCCTTCCCCTTCCCTTCCCCTTCCCTTTCTTTCCTTTCCTTTCTTTCCAGAGAAGGAAACCATGGCCATGAATGGTTAAGCAGTAATTCAGCTAAGGTCCGAGTGGCAGAACTTTGACTAGAACCTGGTCTCATTAAGTACTGATCCAGCAGTTTTCTGCTATAGCACATTATCACTCCATCAAGAATTGTTTATACTCGTTTAACTCCCAGTGATGAGACAGACCTACCCTGTGCCAAGCCCTGTGCTAGATGCTTCACACACACTCATTTACCGGAAGATTAACATATAAAACATTTTAAAAATTATCATCAGGGCAAAAATCTAGAAAGTCATTTACAATCAATTCTGGGAGAAGAGACTTTTTCCTAAAAGGAATTTCAGGTACGAACACTTTGGGTCAGTGAGACCACTCAACTTAAAGGCTGTCTCCTCTTGCCCCAATGATTTCTCCACTTCTCTCCTTACCTGCCCTCGCCCCCAAACTCAATATGGAGTTGCTAGGGTGACTAACATTAATTCAATACTTCTGTCTAATACCATGAATTACTGGTTTTCTTCTGTTTTCTTTTGAAAGGCATGTTCCCGGGTCCTGTAGCAGGAACAGACTCTCAATGACTTTACCTCCCCTCACCTCACATGTCCCTGCTACAAGGTCTCACCTCCACAACCCCCACCCCGCCCCCCAGGGGATAAAGAGGAAACAGACACAATATGGTGATTTGAAAGGTCTTGTGAATAGTTTGTCCATTTCCATGAGTGTGAGAGCGGCTCTAATTGGAACCCTATGGGGAAAGGCTCTGTGCCTGGAGGAAGGGAAGTTGCTCCCACACCAAGGACTCCCGCTGGCTGCCAAGGGCTTTCAGATGCTGCGGCAGTCTGAGCGAGCAGCCCTTGGGCCCGTTCTAACCGAAGCTGACCTCGGGACGGTCCGCCTTCCCGCCTTCCCGGGCTCCTGCTTCTTCTCCTCCCTGGGCCTCTTCTCTCGGGACCGAGGCCTGTCTTTCACGGGCCTTCCTCTGCCCCCGTCCATCACCTTGGCCCTCGTGCCCTCCTCCTTGGCTCTGGAGCGCACCTGGCCCCGGACTCTCGGCCTCAGCCTCCGCAGGGCGCTGTTCACCCTGGCGTTGCGTCTCCAAACTTCCCGCGCCCTCCTGGCCGCCTTGCGGCAGCGCACGCGGCGGCGCCTCCGGGGGCTCCGCAGCCCCGAAGGGGTCCTCCAGGACCGAACGCCCTCCTCCGACCTCGGGCGGGGCGCCGGCTTCCTCTTGGGCTTTGGAGGCTTCCAGACCCTTAAGTAGCCGGAGGTGTGGCTGCCGCTGACCCTGATGAGAGTGCTCCTGATGCCAGGCTTGCGCGCGGAGCCGGCGCGGCGCCGGCACTTCCTGCGCACCTGGTAGCCGGCGTTCCCCAGCTCCTTCCTGAGAGTGGCCACCGTCAGCCCCGTGTGCGAGACGATGGCTCCGAGCAGCAGCTGGGACACTTTGAGCACCGAGCCCAAGTCCCGCCTCGGCGGGGCCGCGAGGATTTTCCCCGTGGGCTGCGGGGTTTTAACTTCAGCGCCTTGAGATCCGCCACTGGGCTCAGCCTTCTCCGCCTCGGCCTCGGCCCCGGCCCCGGCCTCGGCCACAGCCCCGGCTCCGGCCACACCCACAGTCACAGCCACAGCCCCGGCTCCGGCCACAGCCCCGGCCCCGGCCTCCGCCGCCTCCGCCACGGCCCCGGTCGCCTCTGCCATGGCCCAGCTCTGCTCCGCGGGGCGCTGGGTTGGGGACTCACCTACAAAGACCGAGCTCGGGCTGGGGGGGCTGGGCCACGTCACAAAGGCGGGCCAGCCTGGAGGTTCAGTGCTAGGAGGGGGCTGGCAGCTCCCCCTGGGCAGGGGCCTTTTTTACTTTGAATCACCTACCCCTTCCTTCTGGGTCTAAACCACTGCAGATCTTCCACGCAGATGCACCGGAAGAACCACCTTTATAATCCTCCCGAGTTTGTCCCCTGCTCTTATGCTCACACTTCTCATTGATCTTGATGTCGACCACTTTTTGAAGTTCACTAGTTTTCTGTGAAAATTAGTGCACACCATCTACCCATATGTCCCTAAGGCGAGAGACACTGCTCTCAACTGTCCAAAACAAGTCCTAGATGCCTCCAAGAAGTAAATGCGGTGGCCCGTAACACCACCCCGCCTAGAAAGGCCCACTGTTAGTCCCTTCAGCTGTGTCTGCACCATGTCTCCTGGACTCTCCACCAAGGAAGGCACCACAGTGGTACCCACGCCTGGAAGTTCAGATGCCTCATTCCGTTGGATTGGAACAATCAGATTCCAAATAGCCCAAGAACATTGGTCTAAACATTATTCGTTGAACAGCCTTTGAGCTCATCTCCCTCCACTGCCTCTTCTTGGATTGCCCACCCCCTTTCTCTGCCTAGCTGAATCCTGCTAATGATTTCTCTCCTCTTAACTACTACAATTACTTTTACACTCCTATACTGCTCTTTCTTTACTTTAAATTAATTTGGCATTAGAGGGTATAATGTGCCACAATATTTAAAAAACAAACAAACAAACAAACACCCAACAACCCTGGACTTGAAGCTGGAAAACATAGATACATATCTTAATTCTTTTCTTTTCTTTTTTTTCTTTTCTCATCTTTGCTCTTTCTTTCTTTCTTTTTATGTTTATTGTTTTTAAGAGAGAGAGGAAGGGAGAGGGATAGAAACATTGATGAGAGAGAAACAGTATTGATTGGCTGCCTTCTGCCTGCCCCCTTCTGGGGATGGAGCTCAAAACCTGGGCATGTTTTCCTGACCAGGGAATCAAACCCCGATCTCCATGTTCCTGGGTTGACACTCAATGACTGAACCACACTGGCCGGGCCATATCTTAATTCTTCAACAGCCATATGACATTGATAAATCCCTTAATATCTTTGGCTCTGATTTCTTTAAAAAAAAAAAAAACAAGGCAGTAATCCTTCCCTACCAACATCACGTAATTATTGTAATGGATCAGAGAAGGTGATGGTAGATGACAAGAGGCATAAATTGTTTTATTCTGACTGTGTCTTTCCAACTAAATAAAAAAATTTCCTGAGAGCCAGACAGTCTTTCAATTTCTATGTCTCATCCTGTACCTAGCACTCACTATCTCATCATACATAGCAGGCATTTGATTGAGTCTGCTAAAACTTCTCCCTGGTGCCGAGGCTTTCTCTGGGTTCAGAAGAAAACTCCCAGAAAACCAGTAGAGCAGAGCAGGATGAATTTCAAAGGATTGGAAATGAAGGGACCAAGGAAGCTAGCTGCTCAAGGATTTCTTATTTGGACACTGTTTAATTGGGACTAATTCATAGAATAATTCAAAGAATACTTCAAATTGCAAAGTATGCCATACTTTTCCAGAGGACATTCACGTATACTCAACAGTCTACTGTGACATAGTTTCTTCCAGGAATCAAAGTTCTAGGAAGTAGCTTAGACCTGCACTTCTTAAACATTAATGCACACTTCATAAAGTGCAAATTCTAGTAATTAGGGCTGGGATGGGGCCAGATGGTATACTTTTTAACGAACTCCCAGGCAGTTCTATCTGGTTAAAATACAAGTGTTGTTGGGGGGGGTTGGGGTGGAGTAGACAATGAGAAGGGATGTGGCAGGAGATGAGATTGGAAAGGTGGCATAGGGCTGAGATGTGAAGGACAGATACCATAATGACACATCTGTAAGGGGTCACAGAGCAGTAAGTGGTCAAGTTTGGATTCAAACTGAAGTCTATTTAATTCTAAGGCCTGAGTTCTTAACTACAATACTTTGCTTGGTTTCCCTTTCTCCAAGATTGACCCTCCCAACCTTACATATCTCTATTAGCTCCATAATCACAGCTCAAAATCATGAGTATCTACGAGCATTCACTGTACCTTCTCCTAAAAGAGTAGTGTGAACCTGAGGACCTCCAAGGAGAGGGGACTAACACAGACAGTGCACCATAGAAGAGTTGCCAGACGGAGAGGCAGAGCCACATGGAGCAGGATTTCTCCCATTTGTGTAGTCTCTTGATCTGTCTATACTTCCTGGTTGCATAGGTCAGTGGCCACAGGATGGGGCAACCACCAGGAGAAAAAAGAGACAAAACTGTATACTTTGAGAGCAGGAGGAAAGTAAGTGAAGTCTGACCTTCCAATCAGCTAATTCCAGATTGGCTGCACACAATGGTATCATCCTGAAGGACAAGAACCAAGTCAAAAAACCATTGTATTAATACCCCTGTGATTATAAAGGAGGCCAATTAGCCTGAAATGAAAGAAAAATAAATATATGAAAAACATATCAAAAACACCTATGGCAAAAAAGGCAAACATTTTCATTTATATATAATCATTTACTTCTACATAGATTTCTGTATAAATGTGCTGTAGGTAATACAGGGATAACAAAAATTCGAGGTAGGAAACAAATGCTCACTACCATTCAGCTGGCTCAGAGAACAAGAAAACCAGCTGACAGACATTTTTCATAGACCGATCCTTTAGAGTTCTTGTCTTCCTCTTTAGAATAAGTCTACTTGCAAGCCTTCTTCTTCTGGTACCCCAAAAGGAAAAAAATACTGCAGAAAAAAACCACCAATTTATTTAGGAAAAGGGTCAGTATAAACCAGCATTTAGCCCCTAATCAGGAGATACCAACCCAAGATCCAGAAAGACAACTATCCCTTGCAATTTGAATGGTCTCTGATTATAAACCAGAAGTTATTACTTAGAGAGGACATCATCACCCTATTGTGAGAAAGAGCAACAGCTCTTGATTTCTGGATGCCTTATGGGTTGCGGATGGGAGTTGGTGGGGAGGGAGCATGCTAGGGGATAATGTCAAGCTTAAATCCTTCTGCTTCAAGTTCCAGAGCAAGATTGCTTTGTTCTCAGTTGATAACAAGACTCTTCCTCGAAGCTTCTCTGAGATCTCAAGAGGAACTTGTTTGATTTAGAGAATAAGCAAGCTTTACTATACTAAAATGTAAGAACATCAGAAATTTCAATTAATCTCACTCCCTCATACAGAGTTATACAGCTCTAACTTCACCAAGGATAACTCCATGCCAGAGCGCAGCAAAAATTAGGAGCACACACTGATCTAACCTCCATCTGTAACTCACTGCCTCTCCTTAATCCACAGGCCTGAGTTCCAAGGTGTTAGTTCTTTCTGACTCAATTATCTTGCAGTGACTCAATTTACCTCTCTCCAAACAGATAACAGAAATGTGTTCAACAGTCTATTACAATTCCCTCACTGACCTTAAACTGCTAGTTCTTTTTTCTGAAAAGGAACTTTTCTTCTCATTTTGTCTTATGTTCTAAGACCCTTTCCCCTCCTGAACTACTATGTGCCTCCCACTTTAATGCAAATGACCCCAAAATAGTTATTTGAGCAAATAAGCCTGCTAGTACTTTCAGGGCTTTGGGGAAGACTACAATGGTTCACAAAAAGGAATGTTAAAAATAAAATAACAAGATTCCTTAAAAGCATGGAGACAGCCTGGCAATTGAGCATTCATCCTTTTACTCTTCAGCACAATTTTTCAGAAATGAGTTCCAGGTGATCACACTGGGAGGACCAGGCAAATCTCTCAGCAATTAACCTGAAAATATCTTTGATGAAGCAATAAAAAATTATCATTTTATTACATCTCAATCCTTGAGTACCCTTCTTTTTAACATTCTGTGTGCAAATAAAGCATTTCTGCTATGTGCTGAAGTTTAGTGATTGTTTCAAGGACAAGCCTTTGTGCAATTTGTTGCAAGGTGAATTAGCCACTTTTTCATGAAACAGCATTTGTACTTGAAAGAACAACTGAAATACAAACAATAATTATTCAAAGTTAGGTATTTACCAAACATTCTCAGAAATGAATAAAGTGACTCTATAATTTTATATAAAACAACTGACATACTTTATTGCTACTGGTAAAATCCAGTTTGTAGACAAAAAATAAAATTTTAGAAGAGCTGTATCAGCTAAAATAAATTTGACACCATCCCAACACTTCCTGTTGAGATCAGTGGTGATATTAACAATCATGATTTTTGGACAATGCATAGTAAAATATGTCAGTTTGTGGAAGATCTGCCTAACTCAAGGAACTAATATTTTCCAAATGGCCAATGCACTGCAATTTTACAATGCAAGGCTACAGAATTATGTGTGGGTAAAAGAAGAGAGACCATTAGTTTTTTATGTTACGGGGTAAGAAAAGTTCACTGATATGGTCTCAGATTTCACATTGCAACTAACCTTTTTTTTTTTTAAAGAGAGTGGAAGGGATCTCATTTGATATGCACATGAGAACTCACACTGGAGAAAATCCCACTATTGTAATTAATAGAGAAAACTCTTCAGAAGAAGCTTTCCCCTTACTGTATACAACAGAATAAAAAATGGAACTCAGTAACTTTGGGAAAGCCTTGAGTGTTACTTCACCCTTAGGAAACATGACAAACCATACCAGAGAAAAGCCCTATGAGTGTAACCAGTATAGAAAATCTTTCTGCTGTAGTTCTAAACTTACCATGAATAAGAGAATACTCAGTGGGGAGAATCCCTATGAACACAATGAGTGCTGAAAGGCATTTATTGCTCTTTCATCCCTTAGGTAACAAAAGACCGTTCACAGTGGACAGAAATCTTATGAATGTAACAATGAGTATGGGACGATTTCTCTCTCCTTAGGTAATAGAGATAAATACTGTAAATATCACCAATGTGAGTGAGCCTTCCATTTTGCACAAGATAAGTTACACAACAGGAACACATAAGGAATGTGACCCCTCATCATTTACATTGGAGAAAATTCCTTTAATGTAATTAGCAGGGTCAACTTCATGAACATGTGACTAATGCTGCCATACAGGGCTCCATGCTTGAAGTTTGATACTGAGGTTGTCATCTTAAAGTTCTTAATAATATTATTGTGAGTTTGTGTTTTATGTGTGAAGAAGCCTGTGCTGGAATCCTGGAAACTTATGCACAGTCCTGCCTCCTGTCACCTCACCACCTCTTCGGGACAGGTTCTACATATCAATATACATGAGACTCTCGTATATATTATTTACATGTTATTATATTATTTTTATAGCTAAGTATTATTCAAAAAGTCTCCTTTGACATTAGCATACACAAATATGCCAAAAAGAGGAGCAGCCTTCTCTACAAAACCTAAAAGAAAGAAATCCGTGGACCTATGGATCTAGGCTAGAAATCTAGATTATTTACCAATACTACAATCACAAATCGGCTATAAACTTAACAGATTAAAAAGCTAACTTTACAAAGCACTTAAATTGATTCAGAAGTTATATCATTAGAAACGTAGAATTCATTAAAAAAAATAAACCTTGTGTATTTAAAGAAACATTGAATTCTACTATTCATATAAACTGCCATGAAACAACAGCCAATGCTGGGAGACAATACCACATATTTCAACCCCCACCCTCATCACCAAAGAAGCAGCTTTGTCCCCCAACAACCAGATTGCTCTTCTAAAATAACACTGGATTCTCACTGACCTATCAGTTTCCACCTTTATTGGGTTCAGAAAAACTGAGATTCTTTTTCTTTGCCTCTGATTTCTAATTTCCCTTATTGGATGCTTGATTAATGTTCCCACTCATAGTTCCTATCCCACTTTCTTATATACTTCTTCCTTCAACCATCAAAAGAATAAATAAACATTAAGTTTATACTTAAAAAAAAAAACTATATTAAAAACCAATAGGGAGGACAAACTGCCTAGTAACAGCCACATAATAACCTGGGTCCCAGGTGTGGGTTACTTGCTTCTTGTTTTCCATGGCGGTCTTGGCTCCTAAAGTGTGCAAGATGAAGCTTGAGAAGGCGAATTGAACTATCATTTGACTTGGTGATTGTTGAGGGCCATCAGAATACACTCGGTTTAATTTATGTCAGCTGGACCCAGGGAGCAGGCAGAGCCACTCCCTTGGGGGCGTGACCAGTCAAAAGATTAGGCGCCACCCAGTTTGACTATCCTGCCCAGTGTTAAGAGGATAGATCTCATGATGTCGAAGGCCCACCCAGATGTGACGTAACTTCCTGTCATTGGGACTATAAAATAAACACGCTGCTTTGGGACTTGGTCTTTCTGCCTCTCCGCCAGAAGAGGACAGAAGCCCACCCAGGCCCAGCTTTTGATCTATTTTATGTCTGTCTTTCATTATTTCTCAATCCCAATAGCGCCTCCCAGATTGCCTCCCAGATTGCAGGAACCGGTTCAAGTCTCCTTCTCCGTGGTGGTGCCGAGAGAAAACAGCCCCAGGTAAACCACGTGTTTTATATTCTGGCGCCCAGCGTGGGGCACGGGGTAGGGGGTGGGGGGGGGGGCGGCTGAAAAGCAAGGAGGTTAGGCATGTCATTAGAAATCACTCCAGAGTAATTGCAGTCGCCACAGTACCTTAAGGGCGTTTTAGGAATGTATTGTTTGGAACTATAATTTAACTGGGTGTAAAAATGGGTAATTTCTGGGTCTCAGGAGAGGGAGAGCTCTACTAGCAGATGCTTAAAGCTATGCCAAAGGCACGAGATTTCTCTGTTAAATGTAGTCAAATTCTTGATCTCTTAAACTTCATTCATGACCCGTCAGCACTCCCAAACCCCGGCGGGAAGGTTTGAATTCCCCGCGCCTTCCCGGTCTCGCACGCCGGCCTCCTCTCCCAGTGGCCGCGGGAGCCCACCGGCTTTCCGCGCCTCCCTTCTGGCACGCGCCAGCCCGGTGGCTCTGTGCTTTCTGGGATGGGGGGGTAGCCCAGAGCAATTCCCAGACAAAGAAAGACTTTCCCGCCCCAGCGGGGCACGACTCAACTCAGGCCCGGCAAGAGACAATGTGGTCAATTTGCGTTTGAATGCCTGCTATCACGCAGTTAAAGTTCTAGCTTTGATCTAAATTTCCCTTGAAAAGTATCGGTAGTGTAGGATTAAATTTGTTTGTCTAAAGTATGTGCTTTTACTGTGTAAGTCTGTCTAGTTCTAAAAAGGGTAATATGATTTCTAGTGATTTTTCAAGCTAAGTCTAAAAAGAAAAGAGGATTAATTCTGTAATTTTACCTGGCAGCTGGGCCTCTCTCCACGGCTCGCGTCGTGCTCCGGACACTCGCCCCCAGTCCCCAACACCCGAGCACCCAGCCCCCAGCACCCGAGCCCTGCTTTGGGTCGCACTCCTCTTCCGAACAGACCCATGGCCGAGCGTGGGGAACTCGACCTGACCGGCGCCAAGCAGAACACCAGAGTGTGGCTGGTCAAGGTTCCTAAATATTTGTCACAGCAGTGGGCTAAAGCCCCTGGAAGAGGTGACGTCGGGAAACTGCGGATTGCCAAGAATCAAGGAAGGACTGGGGTGTCATTTACTTTGAATGAAGATCTTGTAAATATTCATGATATTGGAAAACCAGCTTCAGTCAGCGCTCCTAGAGAACACCCATTTGTCTTGCAAAGTGTTGGAGGACAAACATTAACAGTATTTACTGAGAGCTCATCAGATAAGCTTTCATTGGAAGGAATAGTGGTACAAAGAGCTGAATGCCGACCTGCTGCAAGTGAAAACTACATGAGATTAAAGAGACTGCAAATAGAATCTTCTAAACCTGTACGGCTATCACAACAACTGGACAAAGTTGTAACAACCAATTACAAACCTGTTGCCAATCATCAATACAATATTGAATATGAAAGGAAAAAGAAAGAAGATGGAAAACGAGCTCGAGCTGATAAGCAATGTGTTTTAGACATGCTATTTTCGGCTTTTGAGAAACATCAGTATTATAATCTTAAGGACTTGGTGGACATCACAAAACAGCCTGTGGTCTACCTGACGGAAATCTTAAAAGAAATTGGTATTCAGAATGTGAAAGGGATCCACAAAAACACATGGGAGCTGAAGCCAGAGTATAGACATTATCAAGGAGAAGAAAAGAGTGATTAAGAAGACTCCAAGCCAGCATGCTAACAGAACAACTAAGGGTGATGTGTTAAGCATACGGCATTGATACTTGAACTTGAGCACCATGTGTTATAGGGGCAAAATGACTGAAACTTTAATTTCTCTCTCTTTTTTTTAAATTAAATCTTTATTGTTCAGATTATTACAGTTCCTCTTTTTTGAAACTTTAATTTCTCTAGGTAAATTTTGTAAACAATAATTCTTGAAAAATTACTGAAGTGGGTTTTTTTGGTGTTTTCTTTTTTTGAGGAGGAATAACAAACTTATTTATAGACTTAACTTGTATTAAACTAGATTATTTATGATGGGGTTAGGAGTTGGGGGTTAAGAGGTTCTGTAATTAAAGCAAATCAAGGAAATAACTATCCATTGAGATAAATATTTTTCTGTATTATTCGTTTTCTTAACAGAACACTAGAACGCTGAGGTTGAGTACCACTGTACTAGGAAAATTTTTATCCTTGCATAACCTTTGTTGCCGGAAGCCAGTCCATCCTTGCTGCTTAACACAGTCGCTGCAGGAAAGAAACATCTGCACAGCATATGTCTCAAGGGACCTGGCGTCTATTGCATACTGTTCTTAATATGTTTGCTCCCCTTCTTGGCGCTATGTGTTTTAACCAAGGTCACCTCTCCGAGAAAGGTTGTTTCCCCAGGTGGGGATTTTTCCCTGGAGTTAGGGAGGGAATAAAATCCCTTAACTAAGTGCCAGGCGGGTAGTTAATCACTTTAACTATGAACAATCACGCTTAAGCTACATAATCTTTACTCCCTGGAATGGAGATAAGAAATGCCCTAACCTTTGGAATAGAAATTGACAGGATTAAAATCAACTGGTATAAATACAGATGTAACAAGACAATAAAAGACAGAACCTGGCGACCGAACCTGGCTGGAGAACCTAGGGAGAGAACTTGGCAAGAGAACCTGGACAGAACTTGGCTGGAGATCCTGGCTAGAGATCCTGGCTAGGCTGCTGATCAACTGAACGCTCTCTGTGTCATTCCTTCTTCGCCGAATCCGTCCACACCTTTGGGGACCCCTGGACCTGCTGGGGCTGGACCCCAACACTTTGTAAAGTAAAATTCTGATTAAGGAAGATGGTCTTATTTCCTACCCTGCCTCCAGTTGTCTTTTATCCTGCATTGTTCTGGTGCAGGAACCAAATCTTGTTTCACCATTGCCCTCCAGTTCCTAATTATTTGAGGCTGAGTGTCAAGAAGCAGATAGATAATGGTGTGGTAAATCTGTTACAACTGATAATTCTGGATGCCTGTCATGCTTGTTTTGTAGCACATATCTTCCCCCAAGCCCTGTCTTTTTATGTGTAGACTGCCCTGAAATACCTGGATCGTCTACCCCTGCCTTTTGTTTTTGTGGTGACAGTGTCTGCCAGATGCAGTGTTCCCAGCAGAGCTATGTCACTTGAAGTTATGCTTTGGTATTGCTTCAAACCTGGTTTTTTGAGTTTTTGTTTTTGTTTTTAGCATAATTTTAGTTACCTTTTACCTCATCACACTATCTGCTTGAGTTTTTTAAACACTTAGTTTACCTTTTCTATAGGATAGCTAATCTATGTGGTAGACTGGTGTCATTCCTGATTGATTTTTTGGAACTGCTTTCTCATTCAATTCTAAAATATGACTGTTGATCATGGAAGAGACTCCTTTCGACCTGGGTTTCCACCTTCTTTTATTTCAGGACTCTCTAGCTCTGATAAACATGCTTTTGACCACTGTGAGATTGAGAGGAAGGCTGATATACATCTGGCAAGATGTCACATCGTGAGCACAGGAAGGCCAAATTTAATAGATGAGATTGTTAAACTCAGCCAGTACACGGGTTGTTTTAATTGTCAAAATGTATGTAATAAGATTATGGTTGCTGGGCAATGGCAAGATTTGAAATTACATGTTTCCACAGTAACTTCTTTTTTTTTTTTTTAATTAGATATAGATATATAGATATATTGTATTGATATTTCCAATTCAATACTACAGAGTTTTTAACTTAAATTTTGTATTATATCTGAATCTCCTTTTATACTTTATACAACTGATAATTCTGGATGCCTGTCATGCTTGTTTTGTAGCACATATCTTCCCCCAAACCCTGTCTTTTTATGTGTAGACTGTCCTGAAATAACTGGGTCGTCTACCTCTGCCTTTTGTTTTTGTGGTGACAGTTACCTTAAGAGATAACAAAATTTAAAAATCCCATAATTACTGTTGTTCTATCGCATATCACATACAGTCTCAAAATAACAATACTAAGACTAGCAACATAATTATTATTGAAAACACTAAACATTTTGAGCATAAACTGTCAGCTTAGTTTTGCCTGTTTTGAACTTCCTGTATATAGAATGATATAGTATGTTCTCATGTCTGACTCTTTTCACTTTACTGAGATTCACACTTAATAGAAGTTTTCTTCCCCATCCTCCATAATAAAAGCGTCGTATGCAAATTGTCCCCTCAACCAGAGTTCTTCCGGGAGTTTGACCAGGGGCAGGCCTGCCAGGGAAGGAGGGAGTACCTGGCCAGCAGCTGGAGGCTGCTAGGGACCCTACCAATGCATGAATTTTGTG